AGTCAAGTTTAAAATTGATTTTAGTGGGTTGTTGTTTTCATAGTTGTCATTTACCATTCAATAAAAGAACAACATTTTTCTTAAAAAGTGGTGTTAAAGTATGACTTATTGTAAGTAGGAAAGTGGTGAGAGTAAACATTATACGTAGAGATATATCCAAATACCAGTCCAAATCGCAACACACATGCAAAGATAACACAGCCGTGATGAGTGCAACGATAACGCCTTGTGAGATCATGCGTGCAGGCATATCCGACGCTAAATACTTTTTTTTGAGATTGTTGGTGGAATTCACTGGATAAACCTGCAAAAAAGCGTTTAGAAATAATAATATAGCTCGAGACGCGTTAGACGCTGTCATTAAGAAAGTATTTTTGATTAGCGAAAACCTTTCCCCAAGATAAAATGAGCTCTTCGATGTAAGCCGGTAACAGAACAACGAGAATAAGAAATAATATTAATCCAACCGAGTAATTTTGTGTGAGGGAGTTTTAGCTTGTATTTTTATCTCAAATTAATACGTTGTCACGCCTAGAAGCCCCTTGCCGAACACACAGTACATATATATACTAGTAGTACCGAATGTTGCTTCTCACATGATAACGTTCCTATATTAAATGAGTTTAACGTTGAGCCATTAACTTTACACCCATGTTGAGAAGATTAGGACTCCAACAGTCTCATAGTTCAAAAGCGCATTATTAAATAATGAATTCTAATAATAATAATGTCTAACGTTTCAAAAGTAAATAAAAAATTGATGTGCTTGCAGTTATTATTTGGAAGAACTCAATGAACATTCATTAATTTTTTTTAATGAAATATACGAAAATGTCTAATTTATAAAATTGATAAATTAAGTTTTATTCATTTGAAATACTCTTAATTTTCAAACACGGTCAAGGAAGTTTGAGAACTGATTCCTTGCTTAGAAATGAGTGTTAGACATCCTCCTCAAGGTGCTAGCTCAACTCCTAACCGATGGTATGCAAACAGCCCCTAGAATGAGTGTTTTCCGGCGAATTCGTTTCCTAACTTTTCAAGGTTTGTTCAAGGTTAGTATCTAACCTTTACATAAATAAGGTAACCTAATAAGAACACATTATACACTTGGAATAGGTAATAATAGTTCCACCAATCGTTCATATCATTTGGAAAATGAAAAGAAAGGTTTTGGATTCAAACTCACTTTAGAGAAGCAAATTCATTTCTGCGCGTTTGTGTTTTCATTCGATGATTTGGAAGCCTTAAGCTGCTCCGATTTCTGCAAAATTCACCTTGACGGATTCCTTATCTTTAGAGCTTTCCGTAGAAACCTTACACGTCTCATTTGGATGAGCTTAGCTCGATATATGAAGCAAACAATACCAACACTCCAACTGCTCGAGTTTGTATGCGGCAGTTCACTCTACCTCATTTTTTGTTTATCTAACTCTCTCTTATTCTCCAGAAATGAAGCAATAATGAATGTAGACTTCAAGAGCTATCCAACGACATCTCAACCACTCCAATTGGATGAGTATAACTCTCATTATGGAGGGAGACAAACCACACACCCATTTTGTGCGGAAATTGACAAGGTGGGTCTCCCCTCTTTGGTTTCTTTTCTGGGCCGTCTTTTAGGAAGTGCAATAGGTGCTTTGAACCAGGACCCACTCTTATAGGGGGCCTCCAAAAAATTAGTTATAACTTTTAGATTCATGTATTAATTAGTTATAAATTGATTTTTCTAGATGTCATGTATTATTCAAGATTCCAAAAGCTATATAACTTTTATATTTTAAACATCACAAAATTTATGTTTCATTGAACTGTCTAGTCTATATGTATTCCATTGTTAAAATTTGTATTTTGTTTTTGTTTTAGGGGCCTCAATTTGCCATTTGGAACTGGGGCCTCCAAATTCATTAGACGGCCCTGTTTCTTTTGTCAAGTTCAGCCCCCAAGTTGACTATGTCCGCCCCTTATCCTTTTTCTAACATTTTTACTTGTTTTGCAGGAGATGGGAAGGTGTGGAACACACCTTTGTATTCCTTAATTATTTTGGGAGCAAAATATCTACCATTACTTCCAAAAATAAAAGAATGGATCCTATTGTTTTATCTTTTATCATGAGATGTCTTTTTGTACTCATTTTAATTTATTTAGATCAAGTCAACCTTCTACATCATATTATTGATCCCTAATATGTGTAGGATAAACCCAACAATTTATATGATGTATAATTATAGAAGAAAATTCTACTCTCATTATCTAGCTCAATAATATCAAAGGTGAGACCATAGGAGTTTGTATTCTTCTCTAATCACTTATTTGTGACTTTTGCATTTATATTCTTGGTCTATAAGCCATGAGAGTTACCCTCGAATGGGCCTAGGATGCCATTCTTGAATACTTACTATTTTTAGAAGGTTGGGCCCAAAATAACACTTGGGATGTCCGACCTTCCTTACATAGTGTTGGGATTTTATATCTAATAAGATAGCCCAATTAAGTATTTGAAAGCCCATCACTATAATACGAGCCCAAACGGTAGTATGATCAATCATGCATTACGTAAAACATTAATCGTTTTACAATTGTTCGATAATAGGGAAATTAATACATAAACTTTGAATTTTAAATTGAATTTCAAGAACGTTCGGGTGCGGTGTCACGGTTCATCCATCCTGTTATAGCTCACCTCCTTGGGCTCGGCTTCATACCGCCCATCCCTCCACCAAGTGTGCGTTTTTTTTGTGGCGCTCGGGATCCTTCAAATATTTTCTGAGGTACCCCTCTGGACAAGGTCTTCAATGGCCATCCTGAGGGCCTTGCACCCATTTGTGTTATGCTTTTTCGCCTATTATATTGGCTCTAGGAATCCCCAACGCTCATGTCTTCATCCTTGTCGCTCGGGAGAAGCACAAGTCCTTGGCTTCAAACCCCATGGTATATTTGAGCGATTGGGAGAGAGGGTGGGGTAAATCGCACATTAACTGGCCGCTTCCTCCTTTGATTTGAGGCAGCATCGAAGGGGTGCTACCAAGGGGATATGGTCCCTCAATATGATTTCCTCCTCGATGGCGGCGTGCCTCAGGGCCCTAGGTAGTATGGGATAACTAGTGTTCGGATCTTTCTTCAGATCCCAATACATCTCCCCGCCCTATAGTGCATTGGTAAAGAGAGTGTCTCAGTCAACTGATCAGCCTTCAGTGTCTCGTTCATCCACCTTGTGAGAAATTTTGAAAGGGAATCCCTTAGCCCTTGGCGGACATTGGTGAGATGGCTGAAGTGTTGCTTCGGGGTGGCGCTAGGGGCAACTTTTGCGAGAAACAATTTGGACAGTTTGACAAAACTGTTGATGGTTCCATGCCACAACAGGTCGAACCATTTTTTAGCCGGGCCGGGTCAGGATGGTGCTGAAAAACAACTTGCGAACGACATCATCAGATGCAAGTTCCACAAAACCTTAAGACACCAAAAAACTCTCACAGTTCAAATTAAGCGATATATAACCATTGCTTTTTTCATGGGTAACCACCTTTGAGCGAATCAACAACTTTTCCAGATCTAAAATCTGAGCAGGCTTTTGCAATGGTGTGTTTCATATCATCATCGCCATCCTCGTGCGTATTCTTCATCAAATCCACTATTCCGGTCATGGGATCCTTCTCTTTGTCCACACTTGGCTTAAACTTGTCATCTTTGTAGTGCAAATCCAGTCAACTCCCTTTAGAAGCTTTTAGCAAGGAGAGTACCACCCTGTTAGACTTCACAATTACCTTACACTTGTCAGGAATGATCTCCTTGTTTAACTTTCCTAAAGAGAAACGATAGTTCTCTCCTCGCACACCATTAAACTTGACATCAACATCCATTGGTTTGAAGCCAGCATCTATGTTCTCCTTGCCAACTCCTTCTAGAGAGAGATAATTTTCACTTTGTCACTATCCTGATCTCAGCTAAAGGTTGAAACTATTGCATAACTAAATGCTGGGTCAAGGACGACTTTTGGCGCAGTTTAAATCGGGATTGGTACTCGAGAGTGCAAGCTCGCATCATTGGATAGCTTTTCAAACTTGCTCCAGTGGATCGGTGTTTATGTGTTTAATCATTTTAAAAATATTTAAATAGACATACACTCTCTATTCACTACCTGGAAGCACGATTCTCTCTTCTCTCTTTTTTAATTATATTTTGTGTTATGTTACTACTAAAAATATTTTTACTTTGACTTATTTCTGAGTCAAACTACACCAGTTCAAATTAGACCAGACTTTCTAAAATACATAGAGATCAGACATTTATCAGATCATATCATATCATATCATAAAGTTTCAATTCAATAAAAAATATCATAACCATTGTTTAATGTAGTTTTTTTTTCAATTACTATTTTTATTCAACAAAAAAAATCAAAACCTCCCCAAAAATATCACAATCGAATTGAAATAAACTTAGCTGAATAAGCTATGATTTAAAAATTTGAAAGATAAATCGAACCAAAATTGAACTACTCGTTACTTTTATACTTCTTCCGTTCTTTAATATATAATTGCAATATTGATATTTTTGCTTTACTCACACATTTTATTTTGAACATGATTTTCTACTAATATATATAATCAAATTATGATGTATAAAATGTTACTGGTATTAAATTTCTATTAATGTGAATATCCAAAATGTTAACCTTTTATTATGTTTACCAATACATAATTAATTATAATTATGGTAGAAAAATGTAAAGTCAAAATGTTCCAATCATTTAAAAAGCCACTTTCTTCCATTTGATTTTAGATCAAAATGGAACCATTTGATCTGCACGGTAATGTTGGAATTACCGAATCGAAATGTTGAAGGAAAAAAAACGCTTTCTTGATGAACAAACCACCTTCCTCCAAGTCTCGTACAGCAAAAGAAATGCAAGTCGTAATCTAATGCACCGCGGCGCAGGCTCACGATTCTTTTATCGCAAGCCACGTCTTCACTTGCCGCACCGAGCCCAGTTGCAAATGAATTCCTCGAACCATCCACAGTGTATCTTCCATTTTAAAGGTTCACCAGAACACGTGTCGCGCACCGTTCCAATTAGGGCTTTTGCTGCAGACGCTTGTGTATATATACACCCACTTCTTCACCTTTCCCATAACCTTCTCTTCTTCCCGAGATCGTCTCTGTGATACCCCTCGCCCTCTTCGCAGCCATGGCCAAAGGTCCTGGTCTTTACTCTGATATCGGCAAGAAGGCCCGTGGTATGTGCATGATGTGTTGTCCGTTTTTTATTTTGTCCCCGTTTTCATCCTATGCACTGCTTTTGAGCTAATCTATTTGTGCCTGTTGTCGTTGTTGCTGTTGGAAACAGATCTTCTGAACCGGGATTTCCAGACGGACCAAAAGTTCACCATCACTACCTACTCTCCTACGGGTGTTGTGAGTTTTCCACTTTGTTCTACCTGGATCTGTGTTAGGGTTTCCTTGTCTGTAGGAATAGCCAGTTTGGATTTATTATTTTTGGAAAACCTATGAACGTGGTTTTATTGCTTCAATTTGTGCATTTGTGTCTTTGCAAGTTAGATTCACACGATTATAGAACTATTGTATAATGCCATTGTTTTTTGGTTCTTTGAATAACTTAGTCATGGGTATGATGTACTTGCTATCTCCGTTTCCTTAAAATGAGACATTAGAACTAGAGGGTAATGTATCTGTAAAGTAAGATTGAGTTAGATACTTAGATGAATTAGAACGACACACATACCAAGTGTCCGCAGATTTGGTGGAACGGATGAAAAGAAAAGGTCGGACACGGATGAAGGGAGTAGTTGTTATTGACAATTTCTTTGTTTTTGTTGCATCTCTTTTTGCAGCGAATTAATGACTGCTTCTTGTTCAGTAAGACTTGTATATAATTTGTTTTTCTTCAATGTAATAACTGTTTTTCCTTACTAAGACTCGTATTCTCAATTTTATTATATGGTATCTTATTAGACTCTTCTCAATTTTTTTATCTCTTTTCTGTGTAGGCCATTACTTCATCTGGGTCAAAGAAAGGAGATCTATTTTTGGGTGATGTCACCACCCAGTTGAAGAACAAGAACATTACCACTGATATCAAAGTGGACACCAACTCCAATGTGAGCTCTCATACTTAATTTTCAATTTATTATCATCTATATTTAGCACTTGTCATCAGAGTTTTACTTGTGATACTGTTTGTACAAATTTCCATCAACCCAAATCAGCTTGGTTATCCCATCACTGATGAGCTGCCTTTATTTTTGGGGGTGTTACTACATCGTTAATTTTGACCAGATTTCTTTCTTAGTGAATCTACAAACATCTACTAGTGTTGTGGTATCTATATTTTTTAATGCGGTGACAAGAGCCATGCTTTTTATGTTTGGTGATTTGGCCTTTTAACTTTAGAAAATCCGAAAGGGAAATTAAATATGATTGTTCATGGCTTAAAAACATTTTTAGTCCTCTCAAATATGAAACATTTTTGTTTGAGATCTCTAACTATACACTATGAATTGATGTCGACTCTATGAATTGATGTTGACTCTATGAATTGATTAGAAACCTTTAAATCCATCCTTTTATTAAAAATAATGTAAAACTATTCATTCACCTATATAAAAAGGATCGGAGGAAACGTATGAGTCAGGGCTGTTTCAATGACAAAATAATTTTGCAGGGATTTGAAAAATAGGAAGCACTATATTTGAAGGATTAATATGAACTCATAATTATATGAACTCATTTAAAATGAATGTGGACTAATATGTAAAATTGAATTATTGCTTCTGAAAAGGATTAATTGTGTTTGAACTAGTTTTTGCTTTTCCTTTAAGTTTAATCATTTCCACCCTCATAGCCCCATTTTCTCCGAGTGAAGCACCTAATCATCTTTTCCATCTAAATCCAGCTTTTTACAACCATCACTGTTGATGAAGCTGCTCCTGGATTGAAAAGCATTGTGAACTTCAGACTCCCTGATCAAAGATCTGGTAAGGTAATTTTTCATTCTGTTTTCTAACAGCGTAGAGCTCTATGCGGTGATGTCCTTTGTAGAGGTTGAACTTCACAATATTTGTATGACCATGGTGGCACAAGCATTCGAAGAAAACTATTAGTTAAACAGATCATTATTAGTTTCTCTCCTTTGTGTTGCAGGTTGAACTTCAATATTTACATGACCTTGCTGGCATAAGCACTAGTGTTGGTTTAACAGCAAGCCCAGTTATAAACCTTTCTGCTGTCTTGGGAACTAATGCTCTTGCTCTTGGAACCGATGTTTCCTTTGACACCAAGTCTGGAACTTTCACCAAATACAATGTTGCCTTCAGTTTGACCAACTCAGACCTCATTTCTGCATTGACCTTGTGAGTGGCTCGTTCTCTTGAAAATCTTATTAACTAGGGTTGGGTTTTAGAGTGGAGAGCATTGGTGGGCTTAAACTCTATCTTGATATTTGTAAATTCAATAATCTTTTTTTCTTCTTTTAAGAGGCAGTCTGTTTATGACTATAAACTCCTATGCCCTCCCAAACCTTTCCCAACCAAATCCCTCCAAGACACTCCTCCATTCATACAATATCCTACTACGTAGCTTGTTTGGTTATGGGGGAGGAGAAGAGGCTATTTTTTGTTTTCCTAATTTATCTCTTTAGTTGCTGATAAGATAACAAGTACTCCTTATATAGTAAATCATGCATTTCTTATTTAACTTGTCATGTTCACTTTATTAGAACAAGTTAGTAAAATAATATGACAATTTGCTCGATCCTACAAATGAATGTAGAAACTAAAGAATACATGGTCAGAATGTGCAGTTCATGTTGCATATGACTTTTGTACAGTACAGAAATTGAGAAGCTGTGCTTTTGTTTTAATGCAAATCTTCATTGCACCATATGCTACTAACCTTGCGATTTCTCAGGAATGACAAAGGTGACACCGTGAAATGGTCTTACTTCCACCAGGTGAACCCATTGAGCAACACGTGTGTTGGTGCCGAGGTGGCCTACAGCTTCTCTACCAATGAGAACAGCATCACTGTGGGAGCCCAGCATCAGCTGGATCCTTTGACCACAGTCAAAGCACGAGTGAACAACACTGGGATAGCGAATACTCTGATTCAGCATGAGTGGCGTCCCAAGTCGCTTATTACCCTGTCTGGTGAGGTGGATGTCAAGAACATTGATAAGAGTGCTAAGTTTGGTCTTGCTCTGGCTCTAAAGCCATAAATTGAGCTGTTTAGACACATGGTAGGTGGAGGGAGCGTTTTTAGTTTTTTGGCTATGTTGAAGAGGTGTTTTTTTGGATTGTAAAAATAATTCTAGGTTGTCCGATGACTTTCAACCATTCCATTTCATGGTACTACCTTCCTAAGCACCATTCAAGCCCAAGAAGGTGTTGAATTTTTATTGCTCAATAATTTTGCACATGAGTTCTTCCTCTACTTTGGGTTACATCTTTATTAATCGTTTACAACTTTACACACAGATAGTTGCTTACACGTTCATGAAAAAGAACTCTTGCATTTCTTTGATGTAGTATGTATACTGTATACGTAGTAGTATTTACAATTCAAACACGCAGGATAAGCGGAATACAAATACTGAACTAGGGATGGACCCGGGCCGGGCCGGTTCCGGTTCCGGGCCGGGCCCGGGCGGGCTTTTTTTCGGGTTACATGGGCCCGGAACCGGCCCGGGTTGATACCGGGTCCGGGCCTAACCGGGCCGGGCCGGGCCGGGCCCGGTTCAATGTTTTTTTTTTTTTTTTTTTTTTTTTTGACTTTCTTGTTATCTCCCTACCCCCCCCCCTCACCCCCACGCCCCAAACCTCCCTAAAACACCCAGCCCTACCCTAGGAAAAGAAAAAAAATTGAAAAAACCAAAAAAAAAAAAAAAAAATGAACCGGGCCCGGCCCGAACCGCCCGGGCCGGTTCAACAAAAACAGGGCCCGGAACCGGCCCGCCCGACCCGCCAAAACGGGCTAAAAGCCCGGAACCGGCCAACCGGGCCCGGTCCGGTCCGGGCCCGCACAGTAGCGGGCCGGTCCGGTTCCGGGCCGGTTCGGCCCGGCCCAGTCCATCCCTATACTGAACCAAAGAACGGAAAAAATCCTTGTTTTGTTTAGGATTCAAATATGTTTCCATTATGTACACAAATTATTTTATTATTACTGGTACATAGTAATCAATTAGACAATTAGAATAGTATATGAATATGATCTATATTCTTATAATTCTAATAATAATAATATAATAGTGGTAAGTGTAATATTGTTGTGTCCTGTTGGAGTTGTTTATTAGAGTAATAATATGGTGCACAAAATAGTGAAGTTTATAGTACTATACGAAAATGTATCACAGAAAATGGGATGAAATAAGTACGATAGTATTAATTAATTTATATATATATATATATATATATATATATATATATATATATATATATATATATATAGAGAGAGAGAGAGAGAGAGAGAGAGAGGGGAATGCTTAGGTCCATCCGGAGGGACGGGAGGTGCCGTCCGAGGAGGGACGGGATGTGCCGTCCGAACTTTACTGTTTGGGGCCCTTCCCGGTGGAATTTTTTGATGAAATTTTTTGAGCATGTTCCTCATCAAGTCTAGTTTGTCCATACCAAATTTCAGCTCAAAATTCGATCGGGAAGGCAGTCAAATGATTTTTGGAAGTTAACTGCGCAGTTTATATACATATAAAACACAGTTATCTTCCAAAAATCATTTGAGTGCCTTCCCGGTTGAATTTTTAGCTGAAATTTGGTATGGATAAACTAGACTTGATGAGGAACATGCTCAAAAAATTTCATCAAAAAAATCCACCGGGAAGTAGTGCTGGACTCGGGCCGGGCGGCCCGGCCCGGTTACTGTTTGGCCCGGCCCGGGGCCCGGTGGGTCCACCGGTTCGGTTCGGCCCGGCCCGGCTGCTGGGCGGTTCGGGCTCGGGCCCAGGTTTTGGTGAACCGGCCCGGCCGGTTCGGGCCCGGTCCGGATTTTATTTTTTTTTTTTTTTTGAAATTTTTTTAAGTTTTAGGTTGGATTAGGTATTTTGGGCCATTTGAGGTGGTTTGGGATGGTTTGGGGTTGAGGGGGAGGGGTAGGGGATTAAATAGGAGAACAAAAAAAAAAAATTAATTGGGCCGGTTCGGCCCGGCCCGGCCCGGTTTGGCCCGGAACCGGAACCGGCCACCGGCGGTTCGGGCTCGGGCCTCCCTTTTCTGGCCCGAGGCCCGGCCGGGCCCAGGCCCGAATCGGGTCCGAACCGGCCCGAGTCCAGCCCTACCGGGAAGGCAGTCAAATAGATTCTTGAAACTTGCTGCACTTTATATATGCGCAGAATGTGCAGTAAGCTTCAAGAATTTATTTGACTGCCTTCCCAGTCGAATTTTGAGCTGAAATTTGGTATGGACAAACTAGACTTGATGAGGAACATGCTCAAAAAATTTCATCGGGAACCGCCCCAAACAGTGAAGTTCGGACGACTTCTCCCGTCCCTCCGGAGGGACCTGAGCATTTCTGTATATATATATATGTATGTATATGTGTATATATATATAGGGAACGGTTCCGGTGAGAATGAAGCCCCGGGAGAGAAATAAGAATAAGATCTTACCGTTGAGATTACTAATCTGATGGCCAATGTTTTTCTGATGATTAGCATAACGATTGCTATTTTCAAGGAAAGTAATAAATGACATTAAATGAAACTTGAAAGCTCAAATCGTATAGGGGTGTTAGAGTAAAAATGCATGCACTGGTATTCACATTTTTATTCACGTACAATCCTAAAAATGGAAGTTATCTTGATTATCATGCAACTTGCCTAATTTAAAACATTGTTACCCACGTTCAACTTAGATTTATCTAATACAATTTACAAGTGTGCAATAACTCTGTATTGATGTTGCACTTAATTTGATTTTATAATATGTTATGAATAGTAAGAAAATCGTTTGCACATTTTGCTAAAATAAAATGTTATGTTGTGCTATGGATAGAGGTAATTAGTGCAAGAAATATTGTATGCACATTTAAATAAATTCTCATGCACTTTATAAGCATTTCACACTTTTAGTTTGCATAATATAAAAGTGCAACATAATATGACATAAGTGCATCAACTGACACTTTACATAAGTGCAATTTTGTTTAGGTAAAGGTGCACTCGAGCTTATTAAAGGTGCACCTCGTTAAAAATCAATAACTAACATATGCTTTTTTTTTTAATATCTAAATGTGTAAAAAAGTACACTTATTATAACTCAATAAAATGTAAGAATCTCATGAAAAAAAATTATAAAACACAAATTAAGAAAAGAACAATAAAAACGGAAAGAGGAATAATAATATAATAATAGAGCACCCATTAAGTAGAGAGTTAGTGCTTTCTATAAAAAAGAATGGAACGGAATGTGTCGGACATATTTAATGCATATGTTAGTTTACAAAAAACTCCTCAATCGTAATAGATTAGATTTGTTCCCGCATTTATAATTATTGGTCGATCTAACGGTGTAAAATCTTTCTTACTTCTGATGCTTTTTTCACTTGAACATAAATATATATATATATATATATATATAATATTATTTAAATTGTTAATTAATCATTTAATTCATATAATTCTAACAATAATAATATTATAGTGACAAGTGTAACATGGTTTGTGCATTTTCTATATTTTGCATCTTTTTGACTGAATGTCCTCTTGTTGTGTTCCGTTGGAGTTGTTGATTGGAGTAATATTGTGCAAATATGCAATCTTGATATAGCTGACTCTAACTTACTTCAGTCTATCCAAACTGGTAGCGAAATTGGAGAGAAGTGCATTTCTTCATGCTTACATAGTTACATGACCTGCCATGCGAGCCGAGCCGGTTCCGGTTCGGGCCTGGGCCCGGCCGGGCTTTTATTTGGGAAAGGTGGAACCGGGACCGGCCCGGGTAGCCGGTGGTTCCGGACCCAAACCGGGCCGGTTCCGGTTCGGACTTATTTTTTATTTTATTTTATTCTGCTTTTGTAATCACCCCCCGACCCCCCCTTCACCCCCACCCCCCAAACACCCCTAAAACACCTAACCCAACCCGGTAGAACAAAAAAAATTGAAAAAACAAAAAAAAATTAGGCCCGAACCGGGTCTGGGCCAGTTCGCATTTTAGGGGGCCCGAGCCTGCACCGGGAACTGAGAGGTTCCGGTTGGCCCAAGCCGGCTCCAAAACCGGGTACCAGGCCGGGCCGGGCCGGGCCGGGCCGGTTCCGGGCCGCCCGGCCCGAGTCCACCCCTACATAGGCGTCAGTAGTCGAATCCAGTAGTCGAATCCGACCCTAAACTTTATGTCGGTAAGGTACGGCCTCCAATGTTGAATAGCTAAAGGCCTGAAATCAACATCATTAACTATTTAAGAAATGGGTCATTCTTGGCGGTGTACATAAGATGTACACAAAATGTGTACATTGTCTGTGTACACAAAAAATGGGGAGGTTTTTGTATCAAATCCCGCCTTTTTTTAAACGAATTGTCTGCGTACAGGCAACTAGAGAAGTTTTGTGTACAATTTGTGCACAACTCATGTGCACTAAGAATTTTCCTTAAAAATTGACCTACAAAGGAATAAAAGTAATTTGATTTTTCTAAACTCTAGTAGTAGTTTTTATCCCTTCTAAATAAGAGTAACACGTGTCGTTCTAAATATACTGTCATATAATGGTAGCATGCTTTCCCTGGTGACAGTAATGCAGTTCTAGCTATTTCGGAATAAATACAATACTTATTCAATCACATTGATTTTAACTCTATATTTTGAGAATCTCCCTAATTCTTGGTGTATAAGCAGACTTGGCCAAAGTGAAAATAAGCCTTATCTTGCTAAGTACTCCGTAATACTCTAGAATAGACAATTCAATTGCAAGTTATATGACCATAGTGAATAAAGTCTATAACTAATGACAATCATAAATGTATGAGGATATATGAATAATCTTAAGAAAATGTATTACATGAAGAAAGTTGACTCATTAACATACGACTTTTAAAAGTTCATTTCCTAAACACGATTGTATTTAATATATACTATAGCTTTCAGCAAGACAAATGAAAAGAAGATATACACACCTACATCAAGACTTCATAGTACATTATATGTGGGGGAAACTAGATAGAGTTGCATTACGGATTAAAAACAAACTATTACTTCGTGTTACCCCATAAGAGTTTTCCATCCTCATTCTTGGCTGCTACAAAAAATTTAAGCACCCATGTTGTTATTGTAATCCTTGAGCATATGAAGGCACTCATGATTACCTATTCTCATGGTTATTGAATATAGTTTGATGTTGTTGGCTCTAAGCAACTTTCTAATAGAGTATAGTATTTTTAGGAATATTGTTTCCTTTTGTATCTTGAACTCTTATTATATATACACATGCCCGGACTCCTATTGGGGCACCTTTCCCGTTAATTATTCACATGGTATCAAGAGCCTAACAAAAAAAATCCTTTTTTCCCCATCGCCTCCCTCACGACTCTCGCGTCGCAGCCATGTCGCAGGACACATCCATGGCGCCGCTAACTTCCTCCTTCACTACGCCGCCGATTTCAATCACGACGGGCATCGGTCTCAGCGCGGCATCGGAATCCTCCTCCACGGTCATCAATTTTGTGCCTCTCGACCACACACAGCCGGATTTCTCTCGTCCGGTGAGTCAGCTATCCCTGCCGCTGCATACTATCGAACCAGTGAGATTTCCTCCTCCACCATCCACCGTCTCGATGTTCTCTTCATTCCCAGTTGGTCCACACATGGCAGGGCCGTCTTATTCTCTATTCGGTTCTCTGCCTCCGCAATTTCCATGGACACCGGTGAAATCTTTAGCTCCTCCGGCGATTTCCAGTCCTGCGCCACAACATAGCTCCCCTTTCTTTGGGTCATCCTTTGCTGGTTCCCCATGAGTCACCAGGCCGCAGCAGGACAACCCGCTTTTTGGCTCTCCTATGGCAGCTTTAGCCCAGACGATCTCTCATGGTATTGCTAATGTTGGACAGATTGTAACCATAAAGCTCAAAGCTGTAGAGGACTACCTTACATGGCACACCCAGTTTGAGTCGTTCCTCGTCTCTCAAGGGCTTTTCGGCATCATCGATGGCTCTATTCAGGTACCTCCCATGTATACTTTGGATTTTAATAATCAGCACATCGTTAATACTGATTATTATCATTGGCTTCGTATTGACCAAACAATTCGTTCTTGGTTGTTTGTGACTTTATCTCGGGATGTGTTAACTGATGTGCATGATATTAAACATTCATCTGTTATATGAGAGCGGTTGCAATCTCATTTTATGTCTGCCAGTATACCTAGAGCCATGGAACTCAAACGTTTACTGTCTAACACTAAAAAGAAAGAAAACCAATCTATGGAACATTATTTACGCGACATTAAAAATCTGGCTGATGCATTAGCGGCTATAAATTCCCCTATGACTGAATGAGAATTACTCCTAAGTACACTTCAAGGATTGGGACCGGAATATAAATTTGTTACGGGTACAATTTCCTTGTTTCCGGAGAGCTTCCCACCTAGCATTCTTCACCCCCGCCTCATGGAAGCGGAGCAACAGGTTCTGTACGAACGCCAACAAGACACTTCTTCAGTTCAACAAGCGTTTGGGGCTCACATGGGTGCCGGGCAGCAGGTTCAGGCAGCCGCATACCGCGGCAGAGGCGGCCGCGGAAGAGGGGGCCGAGGCCGAGGCAGGAACCAGCCACCACACTTTCATGGTCAGCCGCAGGGGCCACCTTCAGACACAGGGGGTGCATTTTTCCCGAGACCTCCTAATGTCACATCTGGTTCTCCATCAACTGAGGGTATTCTTGGATCAGTCCCACCTCCTGTTGTATGTCAAATATGTTTTTCTGCAGGTCATTCAGCTCTTAATTGTCCATCTCGGTTCTCTCAACCGTTTGCTCCTGCTCTGCTGACCCCTACTGGCGAAAGCAATGATGCTCTATGGTATCCCGACTCTGGGGCTTCTGCTCATATGACCTCCTCGGAAGGTATTTTATCTAATAAATCCCCTTATTGTGGTTCCATGACTGTTAGTGTTGCAAACGGTGCTAATCTTCCCATAGTTAATATTGGAAATATTAAATTAAATACTCCAGTCCGCCCTATTTCATTGAATTCTATATATCATGTGCCTCAAATTAAATTCAATTTACTCTCTATTCAAAAATTGTGTGCTGATAACAATTGTATTGCTATTTTTGATAAAAATTCTTTTCTTGTTAAGGACAAACTTTCAGGGGCGGTTCTGCTTCGGGCACATCATAATGGACATCTCTATCCTCTAAGCCTCAGTCATTCAGCACCTCTAGCTTTAGCTTCCTCTATTACTTCTGGCCCTGTGTGGCACTGTAGATTAGGACACTGTGGTGAAAACATTTTGCGCATGTTGCGCACCAAAAATTTTATTTCTAGTTCCTCTGCTTTTACTCATGACTGTATTTCTTGCCGATTAGGAAAATCTCAACGGTTACCTTTTTCAGATGCTAGTCATAATTCATCTTCTCCTTTACAATTAATTCATTCTGATGTGTGGCAATCACCTGTTTTGTCTAATTTAGGTTTTAAATATTATGTGTGTTTTATTGATGATTACTCCCGTTTACCTGGTTATACCCCATGCGTACCAAAGATGAAGTGTTTTGTCATTTTCGTAACTTTAAGGCACTTGTAGAAAATCTGTTTAATGTCAAAATTAAAGTTTTTCAAAGTGATGGGGAAGGTGAGTTTGATAATTCTAATCTGCAACAATTTTTTTCTGAGCATGGGATTTTTTTTTCCAAAAATCTTGTCCTTATACTCCACAACAAAATGGCGTTGCTGAACGTAAACATCGTCATCTTCTCGAACTGGCTAGGACTGTGCTTATTACTGCTGCTATTCCTAGCACTTTTTGGGTTGATGCTATTTTTACTGCGGTTTATATTGTGAACAGACTTCCCTCTCCCACTGATGTGAGTTTTCTCGCACATAAAAAGATTGTAATATAGTGGTGTAAGTACGAGTATCGTCTCCACAGGGACGGACAAAAGGGAATCAAAGATTAACTAAGTTCAGCGATTAAAAAGAAATAAATAAAAATGCGTCGTGCGAGATTGGTTGCTGGAAAATAAAAATGCGAATAAAACGATTAAACTAGGGGGTTCTTTCTAATTAATGACGAAGGGAACCGGGATTGATTCCGGGGTAACCGGATTTTTGACAGATCGGGCCTAATTACATGAAATTAATTTAATTGAGCCTAGCTAATCATTACTAAGTTCTTACCGCTCTCGCGGCGTAGAGTATAATAATTTAGGGGACCAGGCTGATCTCTCATGCGACAGGATCCTAAATTATTGCCAAGACGAGCAAGCTTACGGCCCCTTAATCGCTACTAATCTCTTAGTGAACGATTAAGTGTGTGTGAATGTATTCTAGAACAAATTAGATCTCTCTTAATTTATTCTACATGCAATTGTAATTCTAGTCGCGATTCTAGGTTACAAAAGATATCAATTAAATTATTCAAACACAAATTAAACGGAATTCATGCAATTAAACCGAAAAGAATCTAGTCAGACATCATGATTAACCCCTTCATCAATCCCAAATCCCTAATTAAAACTACTCACAATTCATAATTGAAGAATCAATAGAATTAGAATAAAAAGAATTAATTGTCATTAATTAAAAAGGTGGAACTTACAAAGAATCCCAAAAGATTGATGAACGAGGCTGAAAAGCCCTCTAAAATTCGTGCTAGGCACTCTCTCTAAGCTCCTCCCTTGAAAACGGGGGTTTACAGGCTGTTTAAATAGAAAAATCGGGTGAAATTTGAGCTGAATTAGGATTTTCGGAGCCAGACACGATGCCAGGCACGATCGTGCCTCCGGAGCAAAAACGCGCATTTTGGGCAGGCACGATCGTGCCTCCCTCCAGGCACGATCGTGCCTGGCAGGCAGTAACTTCGCGGTGGTTTTCTCTTCAGGCACGATCGTGTCTGACTTTGAGGGCACGATCGTGCCTATTTAACTTCCGAATTTGACAAAACTTCTTTCACGAAAGTTGTAGATAATGAAGTCCTCTATCCACCTCAATTTGCCGAATGTGATTTGAATCATCCAATCAAGAGATATCATTAAAACGGTTGAAGGTGTCTTTCTGAAATCGCAGCAGAGATCATATGACTTCGTCGTCTGTTTTCACCTTCTTCCTCTCAGATTCTCGCAAAGGTGTCTTCATATGATTTGTAGCCCTTGAAGTTGGATTTCCTATTCAACTTGAATCGTGTCCATTGGTTGTTCCTACAAAGAGATAAGTTTGAACGATTGAAAGAAGGTCATTCTGATCGTCGTTTTCAAGCTTCATTCATCTTCTTTTGATCCCGAAGCCAATCCTAGAGCTCTTTTTCCTTCAAATCTTCATCGTGAATCTTCCGGTGACCTCCAAAGCTATCAAATCATTCTTAAATGCTTCTCAACTCATCCCGATTTCTTCTCAAGCGCCGGTGCCGAACTCTAAAATCCTGATTTTGACTCCAAATGACACAAAACTCGAACCAACGCCCGGTAAACATAACTTGAGCTAAAATTGAGACTTGCAACACCTTAAAGCTAGGAAAACCATCAAAATCCAATCCCAACACGCATCAAATGCGTGTCTAATTACGGACTTATCAGATTCCCCACACTTAAGCTTTTGCTTGTCCTCAAGCAAACTGAACAACGGGACTTACGATAATCACCACACGGAATCAAAATAGTTAGCATGCACACGTAGTTAAAGGGATATTCAAAGAATAGGCAGACTAAGCCAAGAAAATTCTTCCCTAAACTACATCTTTGTACTCTAGCTAAAATATTTGACAAAATTATTCACAACATCCTCAAAGTAGTGACAGCACACACAAATAAACTAGCTACCGATCAGAAGGACTTGTGAAAATGGTGGTGAAGGGTGAATGGATCATGGATAAAAATAATAGTCCCTTTCTTTTGAGAGATTTGAGTATTCTAACAAAGACTCAATGTATTCAGGAACTTCAGGGCTATTCTTAGGAACAAGGAACTCAGTAGGCCACAATTTAGGAATAATCATTTAAACCTATGCAAAGAGTAGACATGGTGTACAACTAAGCTAAACCGTCTCGGCACATTTGTGCTTTGACGTATACTTGAAGTACGCGGAGGACTAAAGCTAAATTTCAATAGCCTCCAAGTTCATTAATTATGTTTAGTTTTCCTTGTCATGTTGGCACGAGAACGCCGTTTCTTTCGAAAGATACCCAAGTCTCATCTTACGCTTTTTGACGGGGCTCCCATTCTCTTTTTCGCAAAGTAAGAGGTCTAGCTATATTAATTTTTTCACCTTTCGGATTCTCACTATACATTACCCCATTCTAATCTCGACCTCACCAAGGAAAAATAACAATTAAAGTTCATTAATTTCAAAGTGAATCCATGCCTACAATGCAATCCTCGAAAATATCAAATTCCTAAAAGATGACTGCTCTTACCCCATTTGGAGCATAGGAACAATGCCAAAAATGGCTCCTACCCAAAATTCCATAAACTTAGCAAATTCATCCCTTAATTCCCTAAACATCAAGACTAAGCCAGAAATATTCATGGGTAAGGTACACAGGCCATTTGGCTATGGAGCTCAATTAATTGGGTAACAAAGAACAGTCAGGCTCAAAATGGCTTCTCCTAAAGGGTTCTTTCAGGTGGAGTGGATGATTATTGGAAAATTCAATGGGTGACTAATGCCTTCATCCTTTCAACAACTAGATTACCGTGCAAGCAATTTAAGCCTAAATACTTTAAGAATGTTCTAAAAGCATAGTCAAAACGCTAGCCAGCTCACAAAGACACAGTTTAAAGAAAAAATTTCAAAAATTTTGACATGAATTTCCTATGAATATACAACTAACACCTGTGCATGCTAACTCTAATAATCACATGTAACAACTACTGCCCGAATGTCCAATTCACTCCCCCACACTTAAACTTTGGCATCTTCCTCGATGACAAAAAATGCACTATGCACAAGGGGGTAAAGAGGATAGGGTCACGCGTGCTCAACTTAACTCAAGTCAATTATTACAAACATGCGATTATTAGAGTCACAGAAACTTCCCTAAGGCATTGGTCGGTGCAGAACTAAACTGAGTCAAGTGATCCTCGGCACATCATCCCCAAAGCAAGACCCTGAGCTGCAAAAACAAAACACACAAACACAAAAACAAACCCAAAAAAAACACCCCAGTTTTTTTTGTTTGGTTATTTTTTTGGGGGGGGGGGGGGGGGGTTCTGAAAGCAAACAAACAAACAAAAACAAAAGTGCAGAAATAAGCTTGGGTTGCCTCCCAAGTAACGCTATTTTTAACGTCGTTTGCCCGACGCAACTTCCTTATATGCTCTCAAATAGCAAAGACTGCAGTGGTGCACTTATAGTCAACGTCTCCAGCTTCCTCTCAACAAATGTCATTAGGTGGCGCAGATCTTTAAATTCGTCAGCCCACGAAGCCAGCACATGGTCTTCATAACCCTCATCAGCACAGAAGTGAAGTATGAAACTCTCATCCTCTTCAGGTGGACAGAAAACATGAGTGAAAACTTTGATTACTCTAGGTATCACCGGAAGCTCAAAAGATGTCTCAAAGCAAGGAGTAGGAGCAACACCGTAATCAAACTGCACCATAGAAAAGTCCTCTTCTTCCTCACAGATATCATGAACATTCACAACCTCTCCTCCGGACTCTGTATCACTCTCCATGAAGGCATCCCAACTCTCGTTAATACCTAAACCTACCTCAGTAGCACAATCATCAAGACTGATCTTCTCCTTGCCCTCCTCAGGTGCTGAGACTAATGGTAAATCAAATGGTTGGGGAGTTTCTGTATGAAAATCACAGTGATCAGTGACTTCATCAGTTACATTCATTTAAAGCAGCGGAAACATTCAATACAAGTGTTCATGCCACACCTTGGCAAACATGGGCATTAACATAATTTTCTTTAAAACAGAAATGGAGGAAGCACGAACCACGTCTTCTCTCCTTGATCTTCCCGAGAAAATGGGTGATGGTAGCAACCTTCAAGTTCTACCTGAAACTGTGAGGTGGCCTCCCCCGTGAAGGGGAGGTCAGTACTTGGAAGCATTTGACAAGTACAATGACAACTATACTAAGTATAATCAAAGTTCCAATTCCAAGACCCTCGAACTAGGATGTTATCATATTATGGTTAACTTTGTTTATTTAGTTTCAATTCATCGTTATTTATCACGGTCTAGAGCCCAGCTCAATAATCACCGTTACATACTACGGTCTAGAGCCCAGCTCAATAATCACCGTCGTCTACATCGGTCTAGAGCCCAGCTCAATAATCACCAATCACTACCACGGTCTAGAGCCCAGCTCAATAATCACCGTTATCTACATCGGTCTAGAGCCCAGCTCAATAATCACAAATAACTACTACGGTCTAGAGCCCAGCTCAATAATCACCGTTATCTACATCGGTCTAGAGCCCAGCTCAATAATCACCGATTCTTTACAATTCAATTTCTTAGGATCCATTCATCCATTATTCAACTACATTTCCAACTAATATTTCAATACTAGTTATTTACTCATTTCATTATAATTCTTCATTCAATATGTAATTTGACCTTAATATCAAAATATCACTTTTATTCTTTCATGGCTTCTTCTCATGAAATAAAAGCATACTTATCACAATTGGGATTCATGGTTGATACAACCATCATGCCATCATATTCATAACATATAAACATACACAATTTATTCACAAATTTGTATATTGTGCAAACTATACTTATAATCAATAGTAATTTCATTTAGGCATTATTAATCATTAATAATCCATGCAAATCACACTTTGTATTCATTTAGGAAATCTCATGAAATTAACCCAAAGATTATAAGCAATATAGTCGGTCATCCTCACCTTAAGTGAGCTTAAGCGCGTTCTACGCTTCCCGGTTGAACTTTGACTAATTCCGGCGAACTTTGACCAACTCCGGCGAAACTCCGGCGAAACTCAAAAATACTTAAATCAAGTTCCTAACAAGGTTTTAACATCATAAAACCTCAATCAATACAAATAACCTCTAAAAGGTTATTTTCCGGTGAACTTGTCGGTTTGGCTTCCAAGTCCGTTCTTGGACTTAGAACCACTCTCCAACTTATCATTCCACACTTAAATCATGAAGAAAAATCCTCAAGGTCCTCCCTATGATATATATCTCATATGATAGAAGAAAAATAAAGGAAAAGTTAATATAAGGTTATTACCTTAATCTTTCTCACTCTTCCTAGCTTTTTCTCCCTTTAATCTTTCCCCTTGGACCTCTATTGCTTGAGCCCTCTTCAAGGATGGGAAAAAGAGGATGGAGCTTTTCTTGGTCTTGCTGGGGTTGTGCTGGCCGAGAGAAAGAATGAGGGAGAGAGATGAATTGCTCTTTTGTCTTAATGGGCAAATAAACATGGGTGTGGGTCTACCCCATTTTGTTTGATGCCAATTCCTTCAACTCAATATCATCTCCCATGATTCCCTACTCTACCAGCCGGCCAACTCCTTAATTTGAGTGGCCAAATTCGTGGGTTGGCCCCCACCCATGTGGGAGGTCAACCCTTTTTGTCCAGAAGTGTATAATCGGTCCCGAAAGTTGTATTTTTCGGACTGTTTAAATATATTTTATTTTATCGAGTCAAATAAAATATATTATGTGTTCTTAATCGTTATACCCTTTATAATGAATATACCTTCCCCAACTTTAATTTATAAGCCCCCGAAATTCATTTCGGGCTTTTATCGGTTAAATTACCAGTACCGGTATTTTGGCCTTTTTGATCAATCGGTCAACTCTATATCATTTCTTTTGACCAAATAAATTATCCACCACTATATAAATATTATATCGACCAAGATGAATAAATATACGGTCTCGGGAATATCGGGCGGCCCCCGCCCCCGGTGTGGGCCCCGCACGCAATTTACTATTCACGCGAATAAAAATAATAAAAATTCACAACTTCGTATATTCGTTAACCATTTCATAAGGTTCAATACAATATTCACTTAAAAGTAAATACATTTGGGGACGGTGTTACAAGTTCACCCCCCCTTATTTGGGATTTCGTCCCCGAAATCCACGTGTCTAATCGAAAAGAAACGGGTATTGCTCCCTCATTGAGACCTCGGTCTCCCAGGTTTCTTCTTCGACTCGATCACTCCTCCAAAGGACCTTCACCATAGGAATCTCCTTGTTCCTCAATTTCTTTACTTGTTGCCCAACAATCTTTACCGGTTCTACTGCATATTGTAGATCTTCACGTATCTCCACCGGTGGCTTTTCAAGAATATGAGACGGATCTCTCACGTACTTCTTAAGCATCGATACATGAAACACGTCGTGTATCTTCTCAAGTTTTGGCGTCAACTTGAGACGGTATGCCACAGCCCCTATCCTTTCAAGGATTTCAAATGGACCAATGTATCTGGGGTTAAGCTTTCCCCTCGATATGAATCAGATGATACCCTTCCAAGGAGAAATCCTTAAGAAGACTTTATCACTGACCTCAAACTCCAATGGCCTTCGTCGTTTGTCGGCATAACTCTTCTGCCGACCTTGGGCAGCCTTGAGTCTTTCCAGAATGACCTTCACCTTCGCCTTGGTGATTTCAACGAGTTCAACTCCTTCGAGCTTGGCCTCGCCAACCTCATCCCAACACAACGGTGTTCTGCATTTCCTCCCATACAATGCCTCGTATGGAGGCATGCCAATACTCGCCTGATAACTGTTGTTATAGGCAAACTCGACCAGAGCCAAATGTTTGTCCCAACTCCCTTGGAACTCCAGAGCACATGCCCTAAGCATGTCCTCCAATATCTGTATCACCCTCTCAGATTGTCCATCCGTCTGTGGATGAAAAGTTGTGCCAAACCTCAGTTTAGTACCCAAAGATGCTTGAAACTTGGGCCAAAATCGAGATGTGAATCGTGGATCCCTATCCGAGACAATGGATATTGGAACTCCATGAAGTCTCACAATCTCCTCCGTGTATAGATTTGCCAATCTTTCAAGAGGATAAGTAATGTTGATAGGCAAAAAGTGTGCACTCTTGGTGAGCCTATCAACCACTACCCATACCGCATCATAGTTGTTCACTTTTCGTGGTAGCCCCACCACGAAGTCCATGGTCACATGCTCCCACTTCCATTCTGGAATGGTCAGTGGCTGCAAAAGCCCCGCCGAGTGCTGATGCTCTGCCTTAACTTGTTGGCAAGTAAGGCATCGACTCACGTACTCTGCGATGTCCCTCTTCATACCCGACCACCAGTAACTTTCCTTCAAGTCTCGGTACATTTTAGTACCTCCTGGATGCATAGCATATGCCGAAGAATGAGCCTCCTCTAGTATAGACTTTTGGAGCTCTTCACTCTTTGGTATGCATACACGGTCCTTAAACAATAAAAGACCGTCGTCACGCACCCGAAAGTTCTCCACGGGTCCTTCAAGGATCCGTTCACGGATCTTCTGACATTCTTCATCAGTGGCCTGACATCTACTGATCTCACCCAGCAATGTAGGCCTAACCTCGAATCTCGCAATGAGGACCCCACTCGTGGACACCTCCACTTGTGCCCTCAATGTCCGTAGACATGTGAGTAACGTCCCCGACGTACTCTTCCTGCTCAGTGCATCGACCACTACATTGGCCTTCCCGGGATGATAATCGATGATCAAGTCATAGTCCTTGATCAACTCCATCCATCTCCTTTGTCTCATATTCAACTCTTTCTGAGTGAATACGTACTTCAAGCTTTTATGATCGGTGAAAATGTGACATGTCTAACCATAGAGATAATGCCTCCAAATCTTCAGTGCAAACACTACCGCTCCCAACTCTAGAACGTGGGTAGGGTAGTTTGCCTCGTGTTTCTTCAATTGCCTAGAAGCATAGGCAATCACCCGACCGTTTTGCATTAGTACGCATCCAAGCCTTTGGATGCTAGCATCACTGTATATGTCATACCCTATCCCCTGCGTGGGTAGTGCAAGAACTGGCGCCTCGGTAAGTCGTTTCTTTAGTTCGAGAAATCCTTCCTCACACTTGTCGTCCCATATGAACTTGGCCCCTTTCTTTGTGAGCTTTGTCAATGGGGACGCCAACACAGAGAATTTCTCCACAAACTTACGATAGTATCCCGCTAGGCCAAGGAAACTATGTATCTCCTTCACATTTTTGGGTCTCTCCCAATTCATCATGGCTTCCATTTTGGCTTTATCCACCGCAATGCCCGAACCCGACACGACATGCCCGAGAAATCCAATCTCTTTGAGCCAAAACTCGCATTTAGAGAACTTGGCAAAAAGTTGTTTTTCCCTTAGCCGTTGAAGTACAAGTCTTAAATGATCTTCGTGCTCCTCTTCACTTTTGGAGTATACTAGAATGTCGTCAATGAATACTATCACAAATTGATCAAAGTATTCACTAAACACACGGTTCATCATGTCCATGAACGTCGTCGGTGCATTGGTTAGACCAAATGACATCACCAAAAACTCGTAGTGACCATATCTAGTGCGAAATGCACTCTTAGGTATGTCACTCTCCTTTATCTTCAACTGATGATACCCCGACCTCAAATCAATCTTCGAGAATACTATTGCCCCTCGAAGTTGATCAAACAAGTCATCAATCCTCGGTAAAGGATACCTGTTCTTGATCGTGACCTTGTTCAACTGTCGGTAGTCTATACACATTCTTAGTGTACCATCTTTCTTCTTAACGAAGAGTACGGGTGCTCCCCACGGTGAATGACTGGGTCTAATGAACCCATTGTCCAAAAGCTCTTGAAGTTGAACCTTCAACTCTTGAAGCTCAGCCGGTGCCATTCGATAAGGAGGAATCAAGATGGGTTTGGTCCCCGGCTCAACTTCAATCACAAACTCGATCTCTCTGTCGGGTGGAAGCCCCAGCAAGTCTTTGGGAAAGACATCCGGATATTTGCACACGACACGAACATCGTTGATGTCAACCTCCTTCTTTGCTTCATCCACCACATAAGCAAGGTATGCGTGGCATCCCTTCTTCAACATCTTTCGTGCCCTCATTACGGATATTATACAACTATGAGATCCTCCCCGATCTCCCTCGAAACGTAGAGTGTTTCCCTCAGCATCCTCAAGTTCCAAAACCTTGGCATAACAATCCACTCGAGCATGATGTTTCTCGAGCCAATTCATCCCTAGAATTGCATCAAATTCCAACATACTTAGAGGTACGAAGTCACAAGTCAAGGGTCGACCTATCACTTCTACCTCACACGAAGGGTAGTTGTAACACTTGAGATTTAATATAAACGGATTAATAGTACTACTCATACCAACAGAGGTGCATCTCCTTTTACGGGAGCTCATCCGCTAAGAACTCCAAAGTTAAGCGTGCTTGCACGGGAGTAGTCTTGGGATAGGTGACCCCCTGGGAAGTTTCTCAGGGCGCGCATGAGTGAGGACAAAGTGCGCGGTAAAGGCTAGTGGTGGTTTGTGAGGACAGTACTATTGGTCTGGAGTAACTACCTCGGGTCCTGCGGGGCCGGGGTGTTACAGTAGTAATGTTTCCTCTCCACATCGTCTCCCAACGGTGTAGAGACTAACAAGGGTTGTGTCATTACTATCAACGGCACATCTAAACCTTCGGCAAACGCTTCACTCACGAATGAACGTTGTGCCCTGGTATCAATGAGAATTCTTGCGTTTCTACCATTGATCTTTAATGTCCCTACATATATAAGTGATGTAAGACACACTATTCAATGTACCGGATCGAAACGAGGCTTAACGAAAAAAATTTCGGGTAAAAATACACTAAACCGGCGCCGGGTATGGACCTGGCTGGCGCCGGGTAAGCTACTGGAACCGGAAAAGTGAAAAATTGCACCGGACCGGCGCCGGGTATGGCCCGGACCGGCGCCGGGTATCCCCTGGAGCGAAACACCCGGAATTCTCCCCCGGACCGGCGCCGGGTTGCCCCCCTGGCCGGCGCCGGGTAAGCTACTGGTTTGCATCTTCCGGGAAAATTTTCCGGGCCAGCGCCGGGTTGCTTCCCTGGCCGGCGCCGGGTAAGCTACTGGTTAGCATCCTCCGGGAAAATTTTCCGGGCCGGCGCCGGGTTGCCCCCCTGGCCGGCGCCGGGTAAGCTACTGCCAGCTCCGTTTGGCTTCGTTTTACGCTAGGCCGGCGCCGGTTCAAACCCAGGCCAGCGTCGGTTCGTCCCTGGGCGTGTTTAACTCACTTTTTCGATTAAAAACGAGCCGAAAAGTCATCGGTTGACCCGTACACGCTCCCTAAAGTTTATATACGCATGTATATGAATAATATAAGAGTGAACAAGGGATTACTCGCAATGGAGTCGGGGTTGGCTCGAGCATCGGCCTCAGTCATTGTGTAGATCCTAGCTTGCGTCCTCCCTTGATTCACGGACGGCGCGTTGCTTGTGCTCGCTCCCCCTTGCCCCGTACTAGCATGGGGTGATCCGGTTCGGTTCCTACTCGCCGTAGTAGCGCCGCTTGATCCCGCCCCTCGGTTCCCACCAAGTTGAGGGCAATTTGGCTTAATATGCGCCGTGTCTCCACATTGGTAGCACCGAGGAGGATCCCGACACTTTCCCCCATGGTTCTTGTTACAGTTCCTGCACCTAATCACCATTGGGGCTTGCGAGCCTGAGTTTTGTCCACCCGTGCCTGAGCTTCCCCTAGATGGCGGTGCCGGTGCCCTGAATGATCCCCCTCCCCCATGGTTCCCTTTCTTATTAGAACCTTGGGGGCCATGTTTCTCCCATTTCCTTTTCTTTGCCTCCTCGGCGTCCCTCTTCTTCCTTTCCTCCCATTGCTTTTCTCCCTTCAACCCCTGAGCAACCACTTGGCTGAAAGTCATGTTGGGCAATTGCGTCGCCCTATCACGTATCTCCAGGTCCAAGGCCTCCCAAAAGTGATTCACCATTCGGTTTTCATCACAAGCATACTCCGGTATGTGGTCGGCAAGGTCCCTGAACTTGTGCTCAAGTTCTTTCACCGTCATGTTACCCCCTTGGGTCAAGAGTGTATATTCCCTCACTTTGGCGTTTACTTCGAAGTCAGAGTAGTACTGGGCAAAGAACTCCTGCCGAAAGTCCTCCCAAGTAACAGTCCCGCCATACTTGCCCTTGGTTCCATCCCACCATTTGGACGCCAACCCTTCAAGTAACCTCACCGCGATTCTCAGTTTAAAATCGGGGGTGAGTTGCATGTCAAGGGCTGCCTCGTTCAGCCTCTTGATCCACTGGGCGGTAACCGAGATGTCCCCCGTCCCATCGAACGGTTTGCACCCCAAGTCCCTCGCTTCTTTGATGTATTTGGAGATCCTTATGGTTGGACCTCCATCACCTCGACTTCCATGCGCTTCCACATGGGTTCTCGAATCACAAAAGCTCCTTCCCCTTGGAGCCCCACTCGAAGGTTGCCCTGCACGGCGCGTTCGGCGTTCCCTTCTTTCTTCGCGCTCCCGATGGTATTGTTGGAGCAGCGCTTCAATCCTAGCCAAGAAGCCATTTTCCTCCTCGTCACTCACATCATCATCATCCCTTTCATAAGGGGTCTCAACCGGCTCAGTTTCCGGCCGGTAGGTTGAGTCTTCATAAGACCAATAGGTCTCACTTTCCGTGTCGACGTGGCCATCGCTCACGGTTTGTCGTTGGCCTCCACGGCCCCTTCCTCTTGATCCCCTAGAGGACCCCCGGCTACCGCGATCGGACCCACCCGGTGCACAGCCCGTCGGGTTCCTCCTTGTGATCCTTCCAACTGGTTCCATTTGTGAAAGAGATTTAGAATGAGTCATTAGACTCGTATCAATGTCAAATGACGGATAGGTACTTAAAGACATCCCTTGGCTCAAATCACCGTCATACCAATTGTTAAGGGTACCATCTTAACAATTAGAGACTTTGCAACTCAATTACCAAAAGTTCCATAAGTATAAAACTTTTATGCTCATGGTTTTCAAATTCGTTCTCAAAATGAAATTTTGAAGCTTCATTATGAAGTTTACGGACTAAGGCTCTGATACCATTTAAATTGTCACGCCCCAGACCTACCCGGACACGTCAACAATCCACCGTACAGTACGAATAGTCAACCGCAGTCTAACACATCCATACTATACAAGGCGTCTGGAATATCATTCACACGTAGTACATCCATAAACAAACATAATGTAAAATATTCATTTAAAGCAGCGGAAACATTCAATACAAGTGTTCATGCCACACCTTGGCAAACATGGGCATACAAGCCCCCAAATAATTATTTGGAAATAATATCCATGAGCATTAACATAATTTTCTTTAAAACAGAAATGGAGGAAGCACGAACCACGTCTTCTCTCCTTGATCTTCCCGAGCAAATGGGTGATGGTAGCAACCTTCAAGTTCTACCTGAAACTGTGAGGTGGCCTCCCTCGTGAAGGGGAGGTCAGTACTTGGAAGCATTTGACAAGTACAATGACAACTATACTAAGTATAATCAAAGTTCCAATTCCAAGACCCTCGAACTAGGATGTTATCATATTATGGTTAACTTTGTTTATTTAGTTTCAATTCATCGTTATTTATCACGGTCTAGAGCCCAGCTCAATAATCACCGTTACCTACTACGGTCTAGAGCCCAGCTCAATAATCACCGTCGTCTACATCGGTCTAGAGCCCAGCTCAATAATCACCGATCACTACCACAGTCTAGAGCCCAGCTCAATAATCACCGTTATCTACATCGGTCTAGAGCCCAGCTCAATAATCACTGATAACTACTACGGTCTAGAGCCCAGCTCAATAATCACCGTTATCTACATCGGTCTAGAGCCCAGCTCAATAATCACCGATTCTTTACAATTCAATTTCTTAGGATCCATTCATCCATTATTCAACTACATTTCCAACTAATATTTCAATACTAGTTATTTACTCATTTCATTATAATTCTTCATTCAATATGTAATTTGACCTTAATATCAAAATATCACTTTTATTCTTTCATGGCTTCTTCTCATGAAATAAAAGCATACTTATCACAATTGGGATTCATGGTTGATACAACCATCATGCCATCATATTCATAACATATAAACATACACAATTTATTCACAAATTTGTATATTGTGCAAGCTATACTTATAATCAATAGTAATTTCATTTAGGCATTATTAATCATTAATAATCCATGCAAATCACACTTTGTATTTATTTAGGAAATCTCATGATATTAACCCAAAGATTATAAGCAATATAGTCGGTCATCCTCACCTTAAGTGAGCTTAAGCGCGTTCTACGCTTCCCGGTTGAACTTTGACTAATTCCGGTGAACTTTGACCAACTCTGGCGAAACTCCGGCGAAGCTCAAAAATACTTAAATCAAGTTCCTAACAAGGTTTTAACATCATAAAACCTTAATCAATACAAATAACCTCTAAAAGGTTATTTTCCGGTGAACTTGTCGGTTTGGCTTCCAAGTCCGTTCTTGGACTTAGAACCACTCTCCAACTTATCATTCCACACTTAAATCATGAAGAAAAATCCTCAAGGTCCTCCCTGTGATATATATCTCATATGATAGAAGAAAAATAAAGGAAAAGTTAATATAAGGTTATTACCTTAATCTTTCTCACTCTTCCTAGCTTTTTCTCCCTTTAATCTTTCCCCTTGGACCTCTATTGCTTGAGCCCTCTTCAAGGATGGGGAAAGGAGGATGGAGCTTTTCTTGGTCTTGCTGGGGTTGTGCTGGCCGAGAGAAAGAATGAGGGAGAGAGAGGAATTGCTCTTTTGTCTTAATGGGCAAATAAACATTGGTGTGGGTCTACCCCATTTTGTTTGATGCCAATTCCTTCAACTCAATATCATCTCCCATGATTCCCTACTCTACCAGCCGGCCAACTCCTTAATTTGAGTGGCCAAATTCGTGGCTTGGCCCCCACCCATGTGGGAGGTCAACCCTTTTTGTCCAGAAGTGTACAATCGGTCCCGAAAGTTGTATTTTTCGGACTGTTTAAATATATTTTATTTTATCGAGTCAAATAAAATATATTATGTGTTCTTAATCATTATACCCTTTATAATGAATATACCTTCCCCAACTTTAATTTATAAGCCCCCGAAATTCATTTCGGGCTTTTATCGGTTAAATTACCAGTACCGGTATTTTGGCCTTTTTGATCAATTGGTCAACTCTATATCATTTCTTTTGACCAAATAAATTATCCACCACTATATAAATATTATATCGACCAAGATGAATAAATATACGGTCTCAGGAATATCGAGCGGCCCCCGCCCCCGGTGTGGGCTCCGCACGCAATTTACTATTCACGCGAATAAAAATAATAAAAATTCACAACTTCGTATATTCGTTAATCATTTCATAAGGTTCAATACAATATTCACTTAAAAGTAAATACATTTGGGGACGGTGTTACATCAAGAAGTGTATCATCCATGATATTCCCACTATCATAGTCTGACTCGCTCACGTGATCATCCATATTGGTCTCCTCGGGTTGGGCGTCTGTGTCGCTAGGATGAGATCTCTCGGACTCCTCAGATAAAGCCTTTATAATCTGCCCCAATTGATTCTCCATGTTCTGCATCCTTGTGTTTGCTTGCTGTTGAATTGCCATGCTCGCCTCAGTTGCTTGCATGAATTGCTTGAGTGTTTCTTCCAGGTGAGACAGCTTCTCTGAAATTATCTCTGAAATTATCCCCGGCAACGGCGCCAAAAACTGATGTGAGTTTTCTCACACATAAAAAGATTGTAATATAGTGGTGTAAGTACGAGTATCGTCTCCACAGGGACGGACAAAAGGGAATCAAAGATTAACTAAGTTCAGCGATTAAAAATAAATAAATAAAAATGCGTCGTGCGAGATTGGTTGCTGGAAAATAAAAATGCGAATAAAACGATTAAACTAGGGGCTTCTTTCTAATTAATGACGAAGGGAACCAGGATTGATTCCGGGGTAACCGGATTTCTGACAGATCGGGCCTAATTACATGAAATTAATTTAATTGAGCCTAGCTAATCATTACTAAGTTCTTACCGCTCTCGCGGCGTAGAGTACAATAATTTAGGGGACCAGGCTGATCTCTCATGCGACAGGATCCTAAATTATTGCCAAGACGAGCAAGCTTACGGTCCCTTAATCGCTACTTATCTCTTAGTGAACGATTAAGTGTGTGTGAATGTGTTCTAGAACAAATTAGATCTCTCTTAATTTATTCTACATGCAATTGTAATTCTAGTCGCGATTCTAGGTTACAAAAGATATCAATTAAATTATTCAAACACAAATTAAACGGAATTCATGCAATTAAACCGAAAAGAATCTAGTCATACATCATGATTAACCCCTTCATCAATCCCAAATCCCTAATTAAAACTACTCACAATTCATAATTGAAGAATCAATAGAATTGGAATAAAAAGAATTATTGTCATTAATTAAAAAGGTGGAACTTACAAAGAATCCCAAAAGATTGATGAACGAGGCTGAAAAGCCCTCTAAAATTCGTGCTAGGCACTCTCTCTAAGCTCCTCCCTTGAAAACGGGGGTTTACAGGCTGTTTAAATAGAAAAATCGGGTGAAATTTGAGCTGAATTAGGATTTTCGGAGCCAGACACGATGCCAGGCACGATCGTGCCTCCAGAGCAAAAACGCGCATTTTGGGCAGGCACGATCGTGCCTCCCTCCAGGCACGATCGTGCCTGGCAGGCAGTAACTTCGCGGTGGTTTTCTCTTCAGGCACGATCGTGTCTGACTTTGAGGGCATGATCGTGCCTATTTAACTTCCGAATTTGACAAAACTTCTTTCATGAAAGCTGTAGATAATGAAGTCCTCTATCCACCCCAATTTGCCGAATGTGATTTGAATCATCCAATCAAGAGATATCATCAAAACGGTGGAAGGTGTCATTCTGAAATCGCAGCAGAGATCATCTGACTTCGTCGTCTGTTTTCACCTTCTTCCTCTCAGTTTCTCGCAAAGGTGTCTTCATATGATTTGTAGCCCTTGAAGTTGGCTTTCCTATGCAACTTGAATCGTGTCCATTGGTTGTTCCTACAAAGAGATAAGCTTGAACGATTGAAAGAAGGTCATTCTGATCGCCGTTTTCAAGCTTCATTCATCTTCTTTTGATCCCGAAGTCAATCCTAGAGCTCTTTTTCCTTCAAATCTTCATCGTGAATCTTCCGGTGACCTCCAAAGCTATCAAATCATTCTCAAATACTTCTCAACTCATCCCGATTTCTTCTCAAGCGCCGGTGCCGAACTCTAAAATCCTGATTTTGACTCCAAATGACACAAAACTCGAACCAACGCCCGATAAACATAACTTGAGCTAAAATTGAGACTTCCAACACCTTAAAGCTAGGAAAACCATCAAAATCCAATCCCAACACGCATCAAATGCGTGTCTAATTACGGACTTATCACCCACTCTCTCTGGTCTCTCTCCTTATGAAACACTTTTTCAAAAATCATCTGACTATAATTTTTTGCGTGTTTTTGGTTGTGCTTGTTATCCTAATTTCTTTGCCTCTTCTTCAAATAAATTGTCTCCTCGCTCCATTCAGTGTGTTTTCATTGGCTATGCATCTGGTTATAAAGGTTATCGATGTTTAGAACCACAATCTGGCAATGTTTTTATTAGTCGGCATGTGCGGTTTCATGAAAATATTTTTCCATTCACCACTTTGTCTTCATCATCACCTGCTTCTAACCCGACCAGCCCTCCATGTGAATTTTTCCTTACACCATCTACCTCAACCGAGGCTTCCTCCTTCAATTTTCCCACTGACAGCACTCGGCCATTATCCATGCCTCACATGCTGCAATCTGACCATCACTCCCCTTCTTTACAGCATGCAGCCTAGGGGTGGGTTCGGTTCTTGCGGTTCGGTTTTGACCTAAAATCAAATATAGAATCAAAGTAAAAAGTTCGGTTCGGTTTCGGTTCGGTTTTACACTTCAAAACTTGGAACCACAGTTTGATTGGTTCGGTTTGTTTCGTTTCGATTTCGGTTTATTCGGTTTTTTACCAAAAAAATCCCATGATTTAAAATTGATATAATACTGAGTAGGGGTGGGCACGATCCAGGACGGAACGGGAATTGGGTTGTCCCGGTACCGAACCCGATTTAAAATAACGGTTCGGAACAGGACGAGACAAGACATTGTCCTTTTGTTGTCCCATTTAAACCAGAACCGGGACAAAACGGGACGGTTTGAGACATCCCAAAAAAATGTAGTGAAAAAATTGCAATCCAAAAAATGAACCAAAGCTATTTGAAAGGAAAAAAAAACTAACGCAAAAAAACCTCTATGAACAAAGAATTGCAGCTATTCTAGAAATTTGTGAGTAAAAAATGCAACTTACCCTGCAAGAAACAAAAGTTGAAGGAAAAAAATTCTAACACAAAAAACTATCAAGAATTATGTAAAAAAAAGCGATAAAGAATACTATAAGAGGTGAAGCTTTTAATTTGGGAGTAAAAATCATTTTTTTTTGTAGATAGATGATACTCCGTAGTTCATAGTTCATACGTAGTACTAGGTAGTTTAAAGTTCTTAGGTGTTCTGTTGCTAAACGGGATAAGGGTCATTTTGGTCCTCGAAGTTGCAAAAAAGGGGTCAAATAAGTCCTTATATAGAAAATTCTGTCCGGACGTGCCATTTGAGGTAGCTCCCTGTGGAATTTTTTGATTAAATTTTTTGAACATCTTATTCATTAAGTCTAGTTTACTCATACCAAATTTCAGATAAAAATTCAATCGGGAAGACATTCAAATGAATTCTTGAAGATAACTGTGTCGTTAAAAGCGCAGTTATGTTCAAGAATTCATTTGAATGTCTCCCCGATTGAATTTTTAGCTGAAATTTGGTATGAGTAAACTAGACTTAATGAATAAGATGCTCAAAAAATTTCATCAAAAAATTCTACCGGGAGCCACCTCAAATGGCACGTCCGGACAGAATCTTCTATATAAGGACTTATTTGACCCTTTTTTGCAACTTCGAGGACCAAACTGACCCTTTACTCGTTGCTAAACAACTAATACATTGTATTTTAATAATTATTGGTATTTGGGTTGTGAAAAAAGAATATTTATTATTATTTGGATTACAAAATGAGTTGTTGGTAGACTCACTAACTTACTAAAAAGTACAATTTCAGGACAACGGGACGGAACGGGATATATTTTACTTGTCCCGCTCTCGTTTTATTCTAAAACGGTTCGGGACCGGTACGAGACAAAAATAATGTGTCTCAAATATAACGGGACAATTTTGGAACGGAACCGGAACATTCCGGAACGGACCAACGGGACCGGGTCTTTTGCCCACCCCTAATACTGAGGGATCAAACATATTACATAAAGAATGCAAGCACAATACAACAACAAATAAAATAAAAATGAGAAGAGATAAATATGTCTTGAATTATATGAGTATGCGAGATAGATTAAACTGTATATATTATTGATTTAATTTGTTTGTGAGTAGTTCGAAAAAAGTTCATGAATATATACGTTTTATGTGATATAGTTGAGATGAATATTTATTGTTTTATCAATATAAAATCTTTAAGTTATCTAAAAAAATTAATTACTACTAATAACTAGTAAGCACATATTAACATCATTCAATATAGCTACATTATTACAGACAATGAATGGGTAAATGAATTTATAAACTAAATTAAATTAAACATAACACAAACATTATTTCTCTAACACAAGAAAACCAAAGACTATTGATGATATTAAGATTAATTAGAATTAATGCTTAACAATTAACATATAAATTTCATACTTTAAATAATTC